ACACACACACACACACACACACACACACACACACACGCACACATCGACAACCTCTCGTCAATATTTTTTTTTTTTGCATAAATATGCAAGAACGCATAAAAAAATGTGGAGAAAGACGTAAAATTAAAGCGAAATAAAAACTGGTCCTAGTTTCATCGAAGATTGTCAGGCCATTCGGGTATGTAGTACCGCCTAATCGATCCCTCGATCAATCGATCCAGCCAATTCGGAAGGCCGTTCAGTACATCTTCCAGTTTCAGGTTTCGCTGGCCTCTTCGCAGTGCCTGAATCTGCAAATCACATTCAGAAATATGATAACTGATTCAGAGGGCACAAAAATCTCTGTAAATTTTGCAATTCAAATTCTAAATTTGTGAAATTTCGCTGGATTTTCCATATTCTGTTCCTTTAAAGATGGCTTTAACATTAAGAAAATCAGATTGGTATTCTTATCATCATATCCGTGACAATGCAAAATTAACCTTCGATTAAACAACATGTATGTAACGATCAGGAGGAGGAGGCGGAGGAGGCTAGGCCTGGGCGGGAAAGCGCTCCAACATCGAAACACCTCTTTACTAGTACAACCGCTTAAAACAAATCAAAAAAAACCCCCCAAACCCCGAAATTGCCCGGCAGCAGCTCCAAGCTGCCGCTGCACACTTTTCAGAGCAACAAAAATTCCTATTTCATTTCTAATCATCACATTAAATATCCCGGAGGGGGGAATTCGAGTCAAGAGACGGCGCATTTGCATATCACAGGGAACCGAAGGGCAACTGGGCAAGGTGAAAGGGGTTTAGCCACCTCTTCGTTTCCTTGCTACTAGCTCCTTCTTCCTTTTGCAACACATAGGCAAATTATTCAAGAATAATCAAATTAACTGCAAAGAAGACGACCCAATGAGCGGCTCTCTTCCAAAATCAATGCAGCACCATGTGCTGAATTTCCGCTAACATATACATTTATAAATTTTATTTTCGATAATGAAATTTGTGCGCTAAAATCTTTCATATTATTCGGGGGAAAAATGCCTTCGGTATAAAAGAAGGTTTTTTTACGGCTGTTCAATTTTGGCCGATACTAAAACAATTTTTACCTCTTCCTTCGAGGCTTTATCCACATCTGAATCATCGCTACTAGCATCATCACCGTCATCGTCGAATCCCAAGAAATTCTTTTTACCCGGCAGTGTATGCATCGGATGATACATGTTGAAGTATAGCTTCCAACCGCATAGTACAAGAACTGTCCCGAGGGTTTTTCGAGGATTGATATTTTTTAAGCGTTCATAGATGGATTTCGAGCCATCTGAAAATTTTAATTTTTTATTAAATTTACCAAAAATTATTCGGATTTCGGCTGCCTAGCTTTCGGCAGTTTTGTGATGCAGCTTAATTACACAGTAACTCTACGCAGTTCCGAATGCTACTATCTCCCTGATTACTTGCTAAGGCTACATAGTTTTTTTACTCACGTGACGAATACCATCACTAGCTCGTATACTAGTAACACCCTAAAGATGGAACCATCGACAGCCTTGTCAACTAATGGTTGCTGTTGGCCAATGCTACTATTTCCGAGTCTCTAACGTCCTTATCAAAAAATGAGTATTAAGCAATACATTGATTTTTAAACTCGCTGATGAGGCTGATTCAAAGTCAGCCATCTCCCAGACCTGCTGGATGCTTCTCAAGTTACTGTGCTATCCTAAAAAATAAACTGGATTCTTCTAAACTCAAAACAAATTTTAGGGCTGGGAACATCGCCTTAAAATTTCATCTTCCCAGCTTTTCTGGTTTCCGAGTTAGCAATTTTTCCATCAAAACTTTCACGTGCTCGTGCGTCGCGCATGAAGGTCGGCAACGCGATCCTGGGGTGGCACTTGGTTCCGGGAAAAATCATTTAAAAAAAGATACAGCCAGTGTGGGATCCGATGTTACAGGACGCATTAATTAATGACAAAGAAAACCAAGCCTCTGGAAATCATTGTTCACAGCATGGCTAGTTTACCCGCGCAACTTTTTTTTTTAAAACAGAAAAGAAAAACAAGAAATAACAAATGGAACCAACTTCCAGTCTCAGCCCTGTTCGATCAAATTTGCGAATGAGAAAACTTCTGCAAACTGTTCCAAAATCAGCAGGGGGACTGCTGGCATGCCGAATGTCAAGCTTCCCCCTCCCCCCCTCCCTCTCTCTTCCTCCTCTTCCTCTTGCCCCTCCCAAAGAAAAACAGCAACAATCCAACAGTTAAATCTCGACAAAAACACTGTAATAGCAGAAAGCAGAGATTCCCTTATTTTATTTGTTATGAAAAAACGAGTAAGAACTTGAAATATTTAAAATTTCTATCACTGAAAAATCTCAGCCGTACCTCAGCTTTACACATGAATAGAAAAAATAACAAACCTTCACCCGCAGCTCCACTTTCTGCTGGAAGCGTATGTTCAAGCAATTTTCGAAACCATGTAAGATTCTTTTCCACCATCAGATAGCCAAATGAAAACGTTTTATTGCTAAAATAAGATTTTATGAAAACATGGATAACACAATGCTAATGAGATGATACTTTGCTGCAAAAAAAAAAACTGGCCAAAGAACCAACTGCTGGTGCAAAGATGCATTTTTTGCACAGTTCCCCGCAGATTTTTGTCGCTAGCGGCACTGTTTTTTTTCTCCGGCAGATGTTTCCAGTTAAAAGAACTGAAACTGGCCACTGCGACTGTCAGAAAACATTCCCTTAA